ATATATAATCTATTTTGATCATAATCTGGTGGTGTAGCACACATAGCCTGAAACATGCCCTCACTGCTTCATTATTTGATTGTGTTGCATTAAAAATGGCATCTATTCTGAAGATCTAGACCTGTTTTTATTATACTGGAGAGGAGAAAGGACTAGAGGAGCCGTCTGTCCTGCAAACCCTCTCCTCTCTGCTCATGTGCATCGAACAATACATTATTGATGAAGAGAAAGATTCCTGCTTTTAGGATTGTTTTATGTCTGGACAAATTGTCCTGGAAGTTATAAAAAGAGAGAGAGAGAGAGAGAGAGAGAGAGAAGAAAGGAAAGGAGAGGAGATGAGAGAGTGAAAGGAGCTGTCGACTCTCAGTGCATGTGTGGAAATATATATATATATATACAAGATATAAAAACATATTATTTAAAAATATATATTTAAATATTATCCCAAGATAACAGGAGATGCCGACTCTCAGTGCATGTGTGGAAATATATATATATATATACAAGATATAAAAACATATTATTTAAAAATATATATTTAAATATTATCCCAAGATAACATGTTAACATTGGTAGCCCAGCTTTATCTTCCTCTCTGTCTCTCTCTGTCTCAAACCCCAGCTTTATGGTACTTTTATTATTTATTTTAAAAGTGTCAATGCACATTAATTGACATGATCACTTCAGTCCATCATGTAAATGTGCCAGATTTAACCATGTAGGCCCATTTTCATCTGTATTCACTGGCAGGTTAAAGGTTAAAAGTACATGTGCTTGCAATTATATCATCACATATATTAAAGAATCATGTAAAAGCACATGTTTCATGTTTCAGGTGGAACCAAAGTAACCTTCCTCCACCTGCTTGTTCACAATCATCTGCTGTGTTTTATTCTCGTCAGTGTCACTGATGATCACCTCACCTCTTCTGTCATTTCACTGTTGAAACTATTTTGAGTGTTCGTTCCCTGTGTGTGTCTGTCAGGCGGCTGCGGCGCTTCATTCACACCTACAGCAGTGTTTCACCAGTGTGCTGTCCTGATAATTACACTGCTCCTGCAGGACGCCATCCCAACACACACACACACACACACACACACACACACACACACAGACACACACCCACGTACACACTCTTTACTCACACACACACACACACTCTCACACACACACACACACACGCACACACATTGCAGCTGAAGGTGACATAAAAAAATCTCAAAATATTCTCAACAAGCAGCTATTTTTACTTGAAGAAAGGACACATTGGTGTCAAAGCAGAAGAGGAAACATTGAAATATAACTGAGAGCTTTTCAGAATCAGTTACGGTTTAAATTCAGACTCTTCCTCGTCTCTACATCCAGAAACAAACAGACTGTCAAATGACATTCACTGTGTATTTTACATTCAACAGAAAACATATTTAATATCTTGTTCAATTAAATTTCTTTCCAGTAATTATAACAGAAATAATATAATTTAAAATAATATACTTAAGTGTGAACTGAATGTAATGTTCTCAGACACTTACTGTAATTGCATGTTAATCGCAATTAAATGAAAATGTAATATAGTTTAAATTAATGTTGAATGCAATTAGCTGAGCCTTATAGTGTTTTTGACCCACTTAAGTAGGACTTAAGTACATATATGTAATTTCATAATTCTATTGTCTTTGAAATATGGTTAAAATTAGCTGCTGAATGTACTGACAAACATTTATGATCAACTAAAATATACTTACTCATTTCTATTGAAACGTGTATGCCATGTATTTAAGTATATTTTCAATGAAATTGCAATTTAGTAGAGTTATAATGATAATCAAGTACTTTACATGTGCTTCAGTACGTTAGTCAACACATCAAAATAATGTACTTCTTGACAAAAGATGACAAAAGATTATTGAAACAATTATTTAAACTTTTTAACAAAGGTCACTGTTTAAAAGTGTACTTAAGTGTGTTAATATCACTTAAGTGGCCTTTTATTTCACTAATAATTTCACTAGTTATCTGCAAGTACATTTTTATTAAAAATAAACTTTTACAATTTGATGTATATAAGTGCGCATTCAGTACAATTAAGCAAACTTATTTTTTTCACAAAGGTAAACAGTTAGTCATCGTTCTGCTTCTGGTGGTGTAGTTATATGCCAATGTGATTAATAATCTAGTTAAGCAGTCAAAAGGTCTTAAAAGGAAAAAAGTAAACCTTTAGAACATATATACATGCCAAATTCCATAAGTTTCTAAGTTTCATGATTTCTTTCTTCTGCTGAACATAAAATCAGATATTTTGAAGAATGCTGATAATCAAACAGTTGATGGTAGCCATTGACTTCCATTTATGTCAGGACCAATATCGTCAAAGATGATTGACAATTAGCATACAGTTTGGATTGGCGGTATGGTTCTGCTCTGGGCAAGAACTCCCTGCGCCTCCATGCAGCCTAGCATGGATGAGATCAGGGAGAGCAGTGATAACCCCCCCAGGGTAAACAGAACAGAACCAACATAAATGTATTGCAGATATCGTTAAAGTTCAATAATGTTATGTACACATTTTAGAATTAGTCTGATTCAAAGGAGAATCAGAAGGCTGAATCCTGACTCACAGAGGAGGAGCTGGGGATGGAGGAGGGTAATTAACTATTGAGCAATGCGAAAACTGCTGATACTACTGCGGGACCTTATATATGAATGCTTAGATAGGTGTCGTATTCCTATAGGCAGCTGAGAGTCAGCTGATGCGAGCTTGACTAACGTGACCTGCCAGAACTAACGCTACGCTTGATATTAGGCTATTTTTTTAGGCTATATCAACGTTCTTCAAAATATCTTCTTTTGTGTTCTGCAGAAGAAAGAAGCTCATACAAGTTTGTAATGACTTGAGGGTGAGAATTAAAATTTCTGGGTGAACTGTCCCTTTAAGGTTACAGTGAGGTTTGTTTGACATGAACAGAGCTCAAGGAACAGCACTACATCCTATTTAGCAAAATCACGGATATCAGTACGGTTCTGTTTGACGTCGGTTAGTTGATGATTGCTGTTAGCATTGCATTTGATTCCAGACTGATCATGCATCATCAAACTCTCCTCCGTTAGGAATCGGCTCCTAAATGCATCACTCATCACCATAGTAACCACTCCACCGCTCTTAAAGGGAAACACCGTAAGCGTGTTTCACAGTAAGCTTTGGCGTTTGTTTTTGCTCCGTCTGAGCGGCTTCATCACAGCGGTGATGCTGAGGCGTCTGACAGCACATCTCTGAGGATCTCCATAACACACCGCAGATACACACTCACACACACTGGAGAAAGACCTCAGGCTGATGTTTTCTGAGCGCCACTTGGGTTTATAGTGGTGTTATTTTAGTATCATATACTAATACAGTTTTTATTGATATATTAAATTATTGTTTAGTTTTTGTTTTAATGTAAAAAAAATAATAATTGTGTTGTTTGTTTCAGTATCATTGGCATACAATTATAGTTTTTATTAATAATTTGAATTAGTTTATATGTTTATATATTCAGTTTTCATTTAGATTTTAGTTAAAGTTGTATTAATTTTGTGTTTTTGTCATTTTTATTAGTTATTGTTTTCTATATATTTTTTTATGTAAGTATGTCTAATTTTCATTTAGTTTTAGTTATTTTAATATTTCAAGTTTAAATGAAAATGATAAATGATGGCTTGGCAATTACCTTGAATATAATACGTTTAAATTTGTCTATGTTTTATTTTATTTCATTTAATGTAAATTTTATTTCAAGTAACAAAAATTATTTTTTTAGGGTTTCAGTTTAAGTTAACTATAATAACTGTTTTTTTGTTTGTTTTTTTCATTTTTGTCATTTTTAAAATGTATATATAGGCAACTAGATACAATAAAACAAGTTTTATTATTAACATAAATTTTATTTTAAGTAACATTTTAAATGGTTTTAGTTTTAGTTAACTTTAATAACCATGGTGTGTTTTTGTCATTTTTATTATTATTATTATTAAATAATTTTAATTTTATAAAATTAAAACTTATTTTTTACTTACTATTAAAGTTAGTTGACAAGCCAACATTTCACATTTTCAGTTTAATTTGACGTACTAAAATAATGAAAACTGAAAAAATAAAAATAAAAACTATACACATATATGTAAAAAACAATATAAATAACAAAACAATAATATAAAGAAAAACAAATAAAAATGACAAAATTACTACATTTTACTAAAACATTTTATTTATTTAGTTAGTTAGTTAGTTTTAGTTAACTCTACCAAGCCTAGTTTACAGTAGCATTTAAATATGGCATGTTCTGACAAAAGCGCCTTCATCCCGCAGGATTTACACAAGCTTTAATTGGAGAAACAGGGACCCAAATGTGTCGGAGCGGTTTGTGTGTGCTGGAGATAATTGGAAATGTTCACATCTCACACATGTCTCTCTGATCAGGGTGAAGAGGATGATGAGGAAGATCAGCCTCTGAGCCTGTCGTGGCCCGAGTCCAAACGCAAGCGCCTCACGTATCTCTTGATCCTGCCCATAGTCTTCCCTCTGTGGATGACACTGCCGGACGTCCGGAAGGCCGTGAGTTTCTGTCTGACCAGTGTTTGATGCAGACGTGAGAACTGTGATTCACCGTGAGACGATTCTCGTGCGTTTTTTTTCTTTAGAGTTCCAAGAAGTTTTTTCCCATTACGTTCCTGGGAGCGATTTGCTGGATCGCGGGATTCTCCTACCTGATGGTGTGGTGGGCTCATCAGGTAAGAGCGGACAGGACACCAGACACAACTAGTTCACATCAGGGCTTTTTTATCTTTATTCAGAACATCTGGACTCGGTTATCCATTTGTTGAAGATGTTAATGTCATTTTTTTTTTTTTTTTTTTCAAAGGCTTTTAAAAAGTGTGCT